AAGAAACAACATCCATGTCTCTTGGCTTTCATTGGAACAAATAGCAAAAGCTAGAGGAAATATTTGTCCATTAGCATCTACTGCAACGGCGATCAATAGCTTGATATCATACTTTCCATAGACATGAGTGCCATCTATGGATATTACCAGCCGACAATGCGAATAACCATTAATTGCTGGTTTAAATGCCCAAAACACGTAATTGAATATATATTTTGGTCTTCCCGGACTCCGCTCAAGCTTCCATTCAACAATAGTCTCGGGGTTCAAGTGTTGCAGTGCGGCCATATACCTAGGTAGAGCTGCAAATGAAGTATCCCAGCTACCATAAACAATTTCAAACGCACGTTTGCGCCCGAGAAATGCCTTTCTTTTGGTAATGGTATGGCCATATTCCTGGTGGACTAATGTAATGCACTCTTTGATTTTATAACTTATGGATGCTTCAAGGTGTGGAATAAGGACAAGAAAAATCAAGTCAATATCCAAGTTGTAGTGATTCCCATTGAATGTGTCAATTTCACATCTGTGGGTGGGAATATATTTACCCACTTTCCACAGACATGTGTTCTTCTTGCTTGCACGCAGCATCCAATGACAACCCGTAAACCATCTGCGGCAAACAACCTTGTATACATCCAGACTTGAGTTCCATACCGTCATCTCACGACACTCTTTTACGCTGTATATTTTCGCCGCTCTGCTTAGGCGCGCTTTATCAGGAAAAAGCATGCCCTTTGCTAACACCGTTGGTCTAGAATCATCCCACATTGCTATCCCAATTTCATCAAAATCCTTTGTGAGAGCATCCACATCCATCATACTTGGCAAATGATCAAGGTAGGGAATCTTCCTTGAATGAAACGGCACTTGGGACTCGTACACTCTTGGTCTAACGGGGGGTGGAGCATACTCCCTCGTCAAATCAGGTCCTTCATTCTCTTCCTCCTCATCACCATCCTCACGAGGGAAGGGTGTGTCATCTCCGGAATCATCGGCATTGTTGTCATAATCACTGTTCTCTTCCTCACTCTGTGCATCTGCCAGATCCCGATTTAATATGTCATCTTCGGGCAATTGAATCAGGACAGGTGATTCAACTTGCTCGTTTTCACTGCACAAACAACAAAATAATAAGCTACTCAAATTAATAAATACTTTCCATATAGCTGTATTACTTCGCTTTACAAGTCGTAATATGTTGACATTCCTTGATGGACATTATCCTGTTGGNGGTGTGTCATCTTCGGAATCATCGGCATTGTTGTCATAATCACTGTTCTCTTCCTCACTCTGTGCATCTGCCAGATCCCGATTTAATATGTCATCTTCGGGCAATTGAATCAGGACAGGTGATTCAACTTGCTCGTTTTCACTGCACAAACAACAAAATAATAAGCTACTCAAATTAATAAATACTTTCCATATAGCTGTATTACTTCGCTTTACAAGTCGTAATATGTTGACATTCCTTGATGGACATTATCCTGTTGGCGATGACTCCGGGATGGACCACCATGATCCAACACACCAGAATTACGCATATTCCAACTGGGCGTGAGTTCATAACTTGTAAAAGTCATATCTGGCCGGTACCCCCTTTGGAATATATGAGTGTTAATACAAATTCAATACAACAAAAATATACATCGTAACACTAAGAAAAATTAAAGTTTACCACTCGTCTTGTGGATTATGTAAAGCAGGAGAGAAATTATTTCCTCGCTCCTCATTCTCCCGTGGTGATAAGTTTAAATCAGGCCAAACTCTTTCAGCCAAAACCTGTCCGGCAAAAACTGCTCCAGAATAACCACCCGACGACTGAGGGTTATCCCTGCTATGCTCAACCTCATTATTGCGAGCGTCTTCGACCTTGACGTACATTTCCAACAGTTTTATCACAAGCAATTCCCGGTATTCATCCGGAGTCCTCAAAAAATCCCTCAAAGTTTCATCATTGTCGATGTTAAACTCAGTGTAACAAGTAACCCTTGCGGAATGACGGAATACATATATCTTCCGGTTACTTTAAGGTTCACCGAACGTTTTCTCACACTCATTTTTTTACATAACAACGATACCAATGTATCGTACTCCATTGTAAGTGGCAACTTAACATGACACTGTTGAGATAAACTATAGCTCACAGTGTTATTCGCTACCACAACCTCATCCCCCAATATAATGAAACCCTTACTTTTCGCTCTTCAGACATTATGAAAAAATGCTTGAGAATTTAACAAGAAGAAAATTTTTAATAGGAGTTACGAATATTTTTTAATGGATTTTTGTAAAATCCTAACGCCTTTAAATAAGGCAATGTCTAGCTCGGGGGGTGAATATTTTTAGGTATAGCGCTCTTTTAAAGGGCGCTATACCCATTTGAATTATTGTTATGTCAGTTAAAAGTGCTATACATATAGTGTTGTTATTAAAGGCGTTATATGTATAGCGCTTTTTTAAAGAGCGCTATACCTTAACGTCCAAAACGTCTGTTAATGTATAGCGCTCTTTAAAAGAGCGTTATACATAAATAAGTCACTCTTTGTTTTTACACTTATTTCCGTCCTACTCGGCAAAAAGAACCACATTTAGGTTCTGGACTCTTAAACAATTCTAGAGTGACTGACTGGACCTCCTGCAATTCTCCAACAACAGCCAATGGTTCAGGCTTTTTTAATGCGCAGGTATTTTCATTCATCATACTCTTCAAACTTTTAAGGATCTTTTGGATCATCTTTTTGGACTTCCTTCTAGAGGTTAGATAGCCAGAAATTTCATCCATATTCCGTCTCCTACGAAGAGCTGAAAGAAGTTCTTGTTTATTTTGCCTTTCATTTGATAAGAGATCTTTAATGGTGGCACAAACGTCTAATATCTTGAGGTACCCCTCTAATAATACATTGGCGTCCAGTGAATTAATGTATTGTTGAAAGTGTGGTAGTTGAAGCAAATCTTCCGCGTAATCAAATAAGTTTTCAAGATCACCTAGTCAGCAGGCGAAAGATGAAAGACAAGAAGAGGTAGCCTCTGAAGATGATTTCACTCTACACAAGTTCTCATCGAATTGAGACACGATAGGGTGAGATGTGGAGGGAAAACTACTAGAACGAGCATGCTTTAGGGAGATTTTTGATCTCAAAGGCGAGGGAGCCATTCGTTTTTTTTTTCTTGTTGAAGTTGAGAATTAAGACTATTGGAAGGTGCAATTCTAAATTCTGCTCCTTCTTCTGGCCCTTGCTTCATATATATAGAACTAGGGGGCTAGAAAAAGGACTTGACTTTTGATCTAAGATCTAACAAGCCAACTAGTTATTCTAGGCGATGTCTGTGCCATGCCTCCTCCCACCATAACATACACCACATATTCTTCTTTTTATTTATAAAAATGATTCCCCCCACGATTGGGTTAAGCAATTTGAGTGCATGTAAACATGTTAGGTAACTATATTATCGTCGTGTTGGAGACAAAAGGAATATTAACAACTCTGTATTCAAAAAAGGAACGGCTATGTTTGTGCTCTGTCTCCTACCTTCAGCTTAGGTGACTACATGTATCGTGATTGCAATTAAGACCCTGCCTCTTCAAATAAAGAAAAGCCTATCTTAATGCAATTACTCACTCTTTTGCTGCACATGGATGATCTGCAATTTTAAATGTGGAATCAAATTTGAATGCATTATGGAATAAGTAAATGTTCTGAGTTTCAGAATACAAGTATTAAGAGACACATGATACCTCCTTGAAAGTTGCGACCTGGGATAACAACGTACTACTTTCTTCTCTATATATACAGGAAACAAAGATACAACTATCCGTTCTTTCGAACAAAAGCAGACAAGGCAACCTGGGACAAGTACGAAAAAACAAACACATAGCCTTGGAATTCAGTTGTGCGTGCTTGCCCATAGTGCATATACAGTAATTCAGAAATCAAAACTTTTGCAATCATGCTTTGAGTCCATCAACGGAATAATACTAAAATTAGTCCCTTGTTGAATTTTCAACATGTCCACTAATTAAATGACATACGCAGGTCTTAAATATGATATTACAGAATCAACGTTGTCAATGTAGTCCAATTGCCTGCCGGAGAGGATCGACGAATTAACCAAATTATGGAATGAAAATTTACTTCTGAATCACTCGTTGTAAACAATGATGCACCTAGTGCCACACGTGGACATGAGGGCGACATTTAATGATACTTATTAGAGTTGTCAAGATTCCAATTCCCTCTGAGAAGACTATCACCAAAGATCCGTATATTTTTCCAAATTGTTTGATGAAAAAGGGAACACATGAGATCAATTTAAACAGAAAGGCTTTCACTTGCCTGATGATGAAAACGTGAATGGTTTGGGATCTTGAATTCAAACCTTGAGAATGTAGAATGGTAGGGAGCACTTTACCCCCTAACCAGTGTGAGTTCGAATTAGTGGGACCAATGATCCTCGGATTAAAAAAATCTAGCTTGTTTTGCTACTGCTGTATGATGCAATTGTACATCCTGCAATTTTTTTTTCCATTTCTTTGAAGGATCCTAATAAGAAGTCTTATTAGAGTTAGAAATGTGGCAACATCTGCAGAACGTTATGTTTGAGGCTTCAGAAACTTTTCTCACATTATGGTTGGTTGTAAGGAGGAGGGCCCAAAAAGATGTTGGATTGTTCAATTCAAAAGAAAAATTGATTTGCGCACTTAACTAATCTGTGACGTTATTTGTGAGAAGGATAGAGTGTCTCAATGACTTTAAGATAGAATCGGCAATCATGACTCGATGACCAAACTCAACAAATTTGAACATGACAAAATGTTATATTGTTACTGGTCCTATGTTGTAAGTTGACTGGAAGGCATATATTCTCTGTGCAACTTTTTCCGTTAGCCTTTCTAATCCCTTAATCGTGATGTACCCCTTTACCTTTTAATCTGCAATCTCACTTTTATTTTTTTTATAAATGTGGTACCAAATTTCGGAAAACAGCAGATCTTATCATATTCAGAAATACGAACATTTTATTAACTCTGGTATAACGATGTATTCAACACACCTCACCTCAAATCCAGAAAACCTTTGCGTTATGGACAACCAAAACGACTTACGGTTAGCAGGTTCTGAGTTAGCTTAAGTTGAAATATAATAAATCTGGGTTATCTATACAGCCCTATACATACCTAATTCAAGATATAGATTATTATCAGAATTTAAAGAACATGGCCCCTATACAACAATCTGAATACAACTAACTTATGAATATTATGCCTCTATTCTCAGGCAATGTCCGGTGCCAGGCAACCAGCAGTCCAAATGACTTGCATACCCGAACAGCATCTTTTCAACCAGTAGTCTTGATCCAATTGAAATGTCCAAAGTACGGTAAGCCTCAGAATGAACAACTCCTCAACCTCCCTCTTAAGGCAGCCTGAACAAACTATATCCCAAACTCCTGAGTTTCATATTTCCGGACAAACGTCTCAATCTTCTTTTCATTGAGGCAGACGGCCTCCGCTTGCAGTTTAGATGCCACATCTACTTGCTTATTCGTGTTACTATCACAAGAATGAAGCACCTATCCGAACACGACCTGTCATCACTCAGATATCTCCAACAATCAGTTTCTCAATACCAATCAACAGCTGCTCCAGGAGGACAGAGCACAAAGTCTCCAGCCTGGCTCAATTTAGTCGGTGCCACCTAAGCTGCCCCGGGAACCGGTCTGGCCACCACATAGGACGCACTTGAAGCCTAAGTGGTGCCAATGGGGCAAACTACCACCATGCCAACGGTAACAAATACTCGCATTTAACAGAAGCATGATGTTTCATAATTTACGCCTGCAGTAGCTCAGGATTAGTGACTTGAACATTGGTGCCTATCCTAGGGATTTAACCCCCTCCTCCTTTCAGGTTCATAGCTAGTCTGACGCGGAGCCCAACCACTGAAAAACAGCATACTTTATACTGCATCAGTTATTGTAATATTCAAGATCCAAGGAGACTTCTAAAACAGGAGATTCAAGAATATCTGTCCTGAATATCAGCAAAAAGTTTCCATTGCAATAACGTCGAAGGCACATCATCAGCATTACAGCTGCCATAAATCTCTCTTCCCAGCTGAAACTGATTGAGCTGTGATTACGCTACAGCGAGAGCAGAGAAAGCCAACAAGGTCTCTGTTGCTCCATCTCACATTGTTCCCCAGCCTGGAAATTGAATAACCTCTAATATTAGCATAATAACAGGCACCAAGAAGGTATAACCTTTTCAAGGTAATGCAACAACAATTTTTCATGCTATTCAAGCCAGATTATCCTCTTCAATCCGTTGCAGAAGCTCCTCGTAAACCTTCAAGGATTTGGCAGTAAACCTTTCCATGGCCTCCAAAATATGTCTCAGACCAAGCTGAAGACTACTATTTTTGCTTGTTTCACTCTGGTACACGACATGCCTATTTAGTGAGAGACCACTTTCATCCCCAGAAACGAGTACTATTCTTTTGCCCAGTGCATGAATCTCCTTTTGTATCTTCTGGTCCTCTCTCTCCAGGTTCTTCACTTTTCTCTCCATGTCCTTGTTCACCATCATCCTTTGCCGCACTTCCAGTTTATCTCGCTCCCAGAGCTGAAGGACATTAGTTGCAAAATCTCGCATACAGTCAATGACCTCTTTCTCAGAAACTCCTTCAATGGTTTGTGACCACTGATTACAAATGACAAAAATTGGGGGAGCACCAATCCTTCCGGGAGAGAAGGGAACTCTTCCATCGGGTGTTTCTTCAGGCACATACAGAAGACATTTCATGAGCCAAGAGTTTAGAGCTCTCACATAACCTTTCTGTGCATTCACCCAGCAAGAGAATCTCAAAGTCCAGTGCAAAAGCTCCTGTTCAAGCTCCAGAGTGGCTTCGAGATGTGCATCACTGAAGTGTTTGTGAGATGCAATGGCATCTAATCGTTTGGCTTCTCCAATAGCCTGGCATTGGCTACGATGACACTCAAGCATGCCTTTCCACATTTTACTTAACCTACATAGAGAATCCACACGAGAAACTTACATTAGATAACTAATTGTCCTAGAATGAGATAAAAGTTCAGCGGAAAAATCTGAGACTGGTCCGACAGTACTAGAAATAGGCACTATATCAAGATAAATCCCCAAAAGTTAATCGCGCAGCTGTGTCTGATTGATGCATTTGCAACTCCAGAAGTTGGATCCAGTTTTAGCGAAAGCAAGAATCCCCTTTAGGAGTATCACAAGCAGCTAAACATTTACATTCACCCTTAACTTTCTAATAAAGACAATCTATAATGGCATTTGAAGGCTGAATATGTCGGTCATTGCTGCCACATCCTAATAAACAAGCCAATTCTTTTATTTATATTTTTGAATGAAGTGCGCTATAATACTTACATAAAGCTGGGAACACCAAAAACCTCCCCTATACAAGTGGTATTTCGAAAAGTAAACCTACAAATAGACATGATTCTCTATGAAAGAAATCTTCAATACCAGTTGGAACTCATGGGGTGCACCCAAAGAAACTGGGATTAAGAAGATATTTCTCAAATGTACAAAATCATTGTCTACCCCCTCAAAGCTAGGAATAAACAAGCCAATTTGAATTGCACAAAGAGCAGTTTTAGGCAGTTACCATATGCTTGTAGCACGCTTAATAGAAGTACTTGACAAACTCATCACAAGTAATTCTTTAAAAGCTTTCATCTTTACGGGAGGATACTGGAAACAAGAACCTCGCATTTGGATCCAAATCAATTTTTTGAAATCATTCATGGAGATCAATATACAAGACCTTAGATGATGCAGTAGCTTGGAGGCATACAATGATGTCATTACAAAAACCTAGCAGTACAAATCAGAAACAATTCTTCTCTTCCATGTAGTGCATTTACACAATCTAATGATAGGCAAACCAGATAGAGAATTCTTTAAAATCTCATTAAACAAAAGGTATCCGTTTTACCCGGAAGACTTGGAAAAAAGACGTACCCCTGAATAAATTCATTCAGTTGCGGCCATAACTCTTCATCCCTAATCTTGTTTATCTTCTCAGAGATCTTGTCAACAACCTGAATCGCGATTCTAATTTTTGTGGAGAGACTTCTAACCAATCGCCTTGTCATGTCAACCTTGTGAGCCTCAGCACCCTTTTGATCTAATCGCTGTAGCTTTTCAGATTTTCTTTCATGAAGTACCCTTATCTTCTCCTCGGACTGCACCAGAATAAGCAAGGTAAGTACACACTGTCAGTATACAGTATATGTTTAAGGCAATATGAATTACACCTAGCACTATAGTTGTGCATATGTTTAACGCAATATGAATTACACGTAGCACTACAGCGACCTTTGTCTTGTGGTAGAGGGTGCGATCGAAGGGGAGCAATTTATAAATTCCAATTGCAACAGAAGGAAAAAAAAATACTCAAAGGACTCTTTAAGGCCGGCCAAAAATGACAAGGAACGTTATCCATCACAAACCGGGGGAATAGCAGGTGCATGCTACAAAATCTGTAAGAGAATCAAATCACCCAGAAAGAGGAAATACAAGCAACACTAGACACAGAAGAACGTATAGTAACAACCATAACTGAAGTTCGCAACTTCTCTTAAAGTGAGACCAACATGACTACAGATGAAGATTAAACATTAGCAAACAACAGTAGTGATAACAAGTACAGATGTATGGCATTAGCATATCTCTGGAATCTGGATTTTCAAAGGTATTTTGAGATTGTCCACAAAGATTCTAATGTACCACATCCCAAGTATCCACTTAATTACCACTTGCAAGACACACCAAAACACAGAAAGAGACAATAATCACAGATGGGGAAGAAACGATTTTAAATCCTCTAATTAATTGAGCTATTCAGAGAGCAAGCAAAACAGACCGGTAAACTCTGCCCTCCAAAAGAAGATGTCGTCCAAAGCATCATAAAGCAAACAATGAAAAGAAATAGAGTGAACCTACAAAAGAAAACAATACCTTAACCTCCTGATACAGCTTCTTCTCCCAGAGGTGCAGCTTATTTAACGTTGAAGAAAGGTTCCTGTACCTTGAAGTAACATCTCCTTCCACATCTGAAGCAGCAGGATCAGCGATCTGAATCTCAGCACTCTTTGAAGTAGAAGTTTGTGACGAGACTACAGATAACGAAGGAGTAATTGCATGCAACATCTTGGAAGAAACTGTCTCCACAAATTCCCATGAAATATAAGTTAAAATCAACTGAAACAACCTCAAACATCAACCAAATCAACTTACTACCATGTCCAGTACACTTTGACATAGCAAGACTTAGCTTTTATTCATAAACAATCCAATATTATCATCTGCAAGGCTCAAGAGCATAATGACAAACTCTTTTGCGGAGAATAGGATAAAAAATTGTAACTTGATAAAAAAACAACTATGCCTCAATCCCACACAAGTTGGGATCAGTTATATGAATCCTCACTATCCTCACCGATCATGCTACTCCTAATTAAACTCATCTCAAGCCAATATTATATGCAAATACACACTATAAGTTCTCTATATTTTGTAAATATATATGTTTTAAGGCTAAACCCCCCTACTATAAAGCATAGGACCTACGGTAAAAGTGCTAACATGTCTAAAAATCATAACGTGACATCACAATTGAATACCTCGATACGTGGAAGGCATAATAACCAAAACTTAAGATCACACTGAAGTACCTTGATAGGAGGCATGCTTACGATTGTGGGGAAGCTTTCCAGCCTCGAGTATCTTGGCAAGCTCATTCCCAGATTCAGAAGCTCGCTCAAATTTAACTTGTATCTCTTTCACAACATCAGAATCGTCCTTAAATGCACGAGCTCTAACATTTCCACCATGTCCCCCTGACTTACTTCTGTCCTCATCTACCACTTTCTTATCCACAACGTGCACCTCATACTCCACCTCCTGCTCATTCTCAACTGACCCACTTGGCCTCCCACGGTATAACGACTCTGTATCAGTTTGCTTCTCCCCTTCCTCCTCTGCCACTGCCTTTGAATAGTTCTCTCCGCCACCTCCTCCATCGCCGTCGACAAACTTCTGATGTCCATGAACTTCCTTAACAACTTCATGCTCAAAAATCTCGTCTTCCAAATCAGGAATACCCTCTTCTTCCCTCACCTCTCTCGAGTCTCGGCTTGGCGTATAAGGTGTAGGGTAATTATTATTCTCAAAAGTCTCGAAAGGGTTCAGAAAATCCCAAGGTGAACTCCTCGGTGGAGATGGCGGAGGCGGTGGCGGTTTCGAAGTCGAAGGCCCAGCTCTAGACGGCCCCAGCGGCGGAGATGAAACACCGTACGGCCTTTGCATCGACGAGGGAAAAAAACTGTCACCGTAATTGGGATACTCCGGGTAATTGTAGTTAGAATTAGGGTTGTTGCTATTCGGATAAGGATAAGGGTAATAGGAAGAGGAGCCTTCATCCATACGAACAGTCTCGGAACTCATCGGCCGTTGTTGATAGGTCACCGACGGCGTCGCTTGCTTCCTCATGAAATTCATATGCATATACTCCCCACCACCCCCTCCAACTTGATACGGTGCACCATACCCACCACCTGCACCAACCTGATATGGTGCTCCGAACCCGCCACCAGCTCCGACTTGATACGGTGCTCCGAACCCGCCACCCGCTCCGACTTGATACGGTGCTCCGGACCCGCCACCCGCTCCGACTTGATACGGTGCTCCGAACCCCCCTAGGGTTTCGTGATCAGCATAAGCGAACTGATTATTAACGTGAGTAGGGGTTTCCGTATGGCGGTGATGCAAAGACTCTGAACCGGAGTCATCATCTTCCGAACCAGACTCAGAATGGAAATGAAGATGTGAACCGGAACTAGAGTGAGAATCGTGATGTTTGTGAATTGCCTTTTTTGCTGGTGGGGAAGAAGAAGAAGAAGGTTCTGGAAGGTCTACTCCAGCTTTGCGGTGAGAAGGGAGATTGAGAACAGGAGAAAGAGGACTATCGGAGGAAGACGCAGTAGAAAGATCGAGATCATGTTGGAAGAACCGGTGAAGAGAAACGCCGACGGCTTTTAAAGAGTGAAGATAAGCTACATGGGCTTCAGCAAAAGCGTAACGGTGGTGAATAGCTTCGTCTAGAAAGGCGCAACGTTCACGGCAGAGTGCCACCGCCGGTAAGTCATCATGCTTTGAGGTTGCGCACCCCATAATTTCAAATAATAAAATTGGGATTTAGTGATTATTGCCCATGGAATAAAAAAAGGGGGGATTTATTTTAGGAAATAAAGAAAGAGAAGGCATGGTGAAGGATAGAGTGGGAGAAACAGAGAAGGATGGATCAACGAATGGACGGTAAAGAGAAAGAGCAAGAAGCATCCCCCACCCACCCNCCCCCCCCCCCCAATTTGAGGGACAAAGATGGAATCTTTGCCAGCAGTGATTTCGTCTGTTTATAGGCACCAGCAAGATAATATAAGAAGGAAATAAAGAGGAAAGTATTTGCTGTTGCTTTTCCTTTTCAACAATTTAGCGAGATTAATAATGCTTATTTTAGGTGATAAAATGTCACTTAGCATGTTATCTGAATTTTTAACCTACTCCAGATAAAGATAAAGTAGCTTACTAACAAAAGGACATTTCTCTCATAATAATGGGTTAGTGATTGGACGAAACGCAACACGTAAGTGGTGTAAATCGGGACAGGGGGTGAAATACAGAAGAAATGACAAGTGTCGGTGAAGATTGCAAATACTAGATAAATATTACTACTTCCTCCAGTTCTTTTCATTTCATACAATAATATTTGACAGAGCAGCAGAGTTAAAAATAATAAGAAAGATTTTTGATGCATCCTAACCTTAAAATCTGTGAGTCTAAACACATTTTGATATTTTTATGATATAAAAGCATATTATCACAGATAAAATGAAAAGTTTAAAATATAAAAGATTTAAATATAAAAAGTGATATAATATTTTTAAAACATACTGATCAAAAAGAATCACTAGAGATATGTAATTCAATTGCGGAGGTTGTAGTTGCTTTGTCCTCTTGTCAGATTGGACTAGTCTTATTTCTAATTTAGTTTGGCAAGTCATACTTCCAGTTTAGTTTGGTCAAAATCAACTACGAGTCTAATGCGGTTGGCACTTTCTTGAAAGAAAATTGCATGTGAAGACGTCTACCTTTGGAAAAGTAGAAGAAAAGAAAACGTACTAAAATCGTGTTTGTAAACTACAGGTAATAGAACATTCTTGTTTACAAGAATTACTAAAAAATGAACCAAACACAAAGATAAGTCCAAGTCAATATAATCAGCTCACTAATTTCGTATATCAAATGACCCCTTATTTCATTATATCGATATTTTAAAGCTTCACGACTAAGATAGTCTGAAAATAGAAAAATAAATTTGTCAAAAGTAGATGTCTTTTACCGTATCAGTGTCGTCACTTAATATAAAATTATGATGTCTTTTACTTTCATAAATTAGTATATACATGTCTTTATTTGTATATGACATATAATGATTGATCATTGTCAAGTTCAGGTTATTTAAAATGGTAAATATTCTAGTTTGCGCGAGAGTATATTTACTGATTTTTTAAAAAAAAATTGTCATCAAACACATCTAATACCTTATCACGTAAGTATAGAGAATTGTTTAATAGCTCAGCGCTTATTAGTGATTATTTAGTACAAGTGCCCTATTGCCACTACAAAAAGCTAATTGTGTTTGGTACAAAAAGGGGACATTTTTTTAGATGAACTCATATTCTCAGTCTTTGATCATAAAAAATTAATTTTCAATGAAAGTATTTTCTATATATGGGCGGGAAAAAATTCTTTACAAATATGTCAACTCTTATTCCATATTGCAAGCTGCAACAGCACTTAAACAGTATTTATTAATCTTTCGCACTCAAAAATTTCATCAATTTTTCAATGTAATACCATAGTTAACATTTTTATAATTCTTTTTAAGACATTATCTCTGAAAAAAATATTTTTTTACGTACCAAACAAACACACAATAGGAGGTGGTTATGGGCTAATTAATTATGACAGTAGAAACGTAGTTCTGAGCTTGTTACCATAGTGTTTCTTTTTCTAATTATCAAAAACTAAACTATTCATTTTTGGTGTGTAATAGTCACATAAATTTGGTAGTTTTACAATTGATGAAACTAGTACCTTCCTGGGAAATAATCTTAATGTTCAAGGATGCGCTAGCAAGAGATCGAACGTTGAGGACCAAATCGAAATTTTGGCAAAAGTTTTGGACTAAATCTGCATTTTTCCCCTTAATTTGAATATACATGAATGACCTAGTAATGATTGGATTAAATGTGATAGTGAAATGCTATAAAGTTGTTTCTTTATTTCAGGACTCATCAGTCATCACTCATTTCCTCATTCAAAAACATCTCCACAATCACTGCACCAGATCTGTTACCCATTTTTCTTTTTGCCATTTTATTGCATTGATGCCAAATCTGACCCCTTTCTCAGTCTTCATACTTTTTTGCTGTCCCAACTACCAAAGCTCTACTATGCTAAAAGGAATTAGTATTATTATTAGCTTAGATAATTGTAACAATACTTGTAGCAGGCACAAATTGTTGTTGTGAAAATTTGAATACCATTCAAATAATTTGAGTGTGGAAATACTATATCCTTTAACGTTATGACTTTTGAGGATGAAAACTCATAACTTGTCTAGTCATTCGATGAAAATTAAATGGGCCGTGGAATGCCATAATGGGAAGTCGTTCATTTTACTTTTTCCCTTCATGCTTCAATATAAAAGTGATTTGACGACGTGCATGGAATTTGCATTTGGCCCTACTAAATATGCAATAAAATTGCTAAAAGCAAAAGGATATTATATATACCTACAAAAAAAAAGGCTTGTCCAACCAGTAATAGGGGTGTTTATCGGGCGAATAATTACGCTTAACGGTTCGGCTTAACGGTTATCGGATAATAAATGTAGTAATCTGCTAGTCATCCAATAGGACAACGAGCGGATTGGTATCGGATTAACAATTATCGGACAGTTATCAGACAGCTTATCGGCTAAACCAAATAGAAATTTTTGAACAACCATTCAATCAATACCAAACAGTTAATACCATCTAAGATCAGTATTTTTGAATTGAAAATTCTTCAAGACTACTCATACTATCATACACGTATTAACCAAATTTTTAATACCATCAAGACTACTTATACAGACATACACGTATTAATCATTCAAATTTTGATTTTTTGACTTCTCAGTTCAAGAGAGAGATGAGACTAACGACTTCTCTGCCTCTGGTGGCTGCAGACAATTGAGAATTAGAAAATAAAAATTAGTGATTTAGCTATGTAGGGTTTCAATAGTACTTTATGTACATAGGGGTAAATGTGTAAATATAAAAATTCTTAACGGGTTAACGGTTTACCCGATGAGAAAATTGAGTAATCCGCCCTGTATACGGCCAAAACCAGTTAGTCCTTCGTACGCACTAGTCGAGATGGTAATACAACGGATCGAAGAGCGTCTTTATAATATCAGGTTAAGGTCCGAAGTCAGGTAACCAAGCTTTATTGTTCCAGGGACTGATCAAAGTCGAGCTCGAATCCAAATCGAACTGTGATACGAAACGAAGTTATCAAGCTTAAGAGTCAGAGATCGACCAACACCGACCATGAATCGATACCGGGCTCCGAGTCAGAATCGAGCTCGAATCAAGATAGAGAACCCGAGTCGATATCGAGCTCGAGTCAATATCGAGCCCATAGACAAGAGTCGTTGCAACCGCACTAGGGGAGAGAATCTCGGCGAGAATTAAGAAAAAACTGATTTATCATGGGTTTTTCACTATATATTTTTAGTTATATCTAAAGTAGGATCCCTCCACTATAAAAGGGATGATTATTGTTTCTGTAAGGGCCATCAAGACATTGTAACAAAAATATTGTTTCTCATATTGAAAGAGTAATCTTTTGAGCTTCATCATTTCATCTTATTTGCTCATTCATTATCCACCTTTCAACTGTGTTTATCTTTTACCCTTTATGGTCTAGATTGGATATTTTCATTTCACTTTACGATTTGTGTCAAATTACATTACATACCCTTAGAACTACATACAAAATCAACTCTATCCGATTTTCGGGTAAACAATTGGCACCCACCGTGGGGCTAAAGATAACAATGGTTATTTGATACTAATCTGCAAAACACTCCATTTTACGCTTGTTTTCGGAAGTGTCTTTGATTTCGGATTAGCAACTACGAGCTATCAATTAAATGGCCTTACCTATAAACAACGAAGCTGGTCTCCAAGGTGAGAACAACAACTTGTCACCCAGTACCAAAAGGTCGATTGTCGACGCCGTTGGAGCTCGAGTCTGTTACAACCCATATTTTCGTACGTACGAGTACGTCGTAAGTCAATTGATGTAAGCTCAGAAATAAAATCATATTTTAAAAGTATATAAAGTAAGATAATCATGTTACCTCTGAGGTTACAAATATTTAAGATCATGAACAACAAGTACAAAGAGGGTTGGACGGTTCAGAAGCTAAAGCAATTGAAGAAAATAATGTTTCGTCGAAAGTCGACAAGTTGGGAATGTTATAACATGTACCTTTGGGGTGAGACTAGGGTGCTTAACATGATAAGGAGATTATGTTATGATTTATATTAGTCGTATGACATCCGTGTGTTATGTTTTGAAGTCAAGCGAGTTGTGGAACAAAAGTCGATGAAAGTCATCACAAGTTACATTCATAAGTTTTACTGAAACTTTGGGTCAAATGTAACTGCAATTTTCTCCCAATATACTTAGAGTTATGGGGTGTTCTACCCATCAAATTAAAGATCTATGAGTCTATTTTCCAACGCATTAAACCGTTTGTCAATACGACATCGGAGTAGAAAGATATGGGCATTTGTGCGATACTGCGCAAGCTGCTAGGTGACAAGTAGGTGTGTCACCTACTTGCTTAAATGAAAGCCCAAAAATGGGCCATTTCGGGTCGTCCAAAGAGGCCTTTTAAGGGCCTATTTTCTTCATATATTAGACTTAAAATAGAGCATAATAACCAGACATAAGCTCTGCAAAGAATCCTCCCAAAAATTTCCCACAAACCCTAATTGATTTTCTCTCCCTTTCAAGTTCCAATTGGAGGTAAAACTTAGAGTTTGAAGAACCAAGATAGGAGCTGAGTTATCCAACAAATAAGGTGAGTTTACTGCTCTCTTTCATCCATTTTTTCTTCTGTAAATTCATGGTAAGTCGTTCTATACTTGTAAGAACTCACGGGATGGTGATCGGAAGCCGTGAGTTCGAGTTATTCACTTGTAGCGGACTGTTTTG